GGCGGGCCAGGACGCCTGGGTCTCTGTCCCGCCCATTTGCTGGGCTTCCTTGGCTCCGTCCCCGGGAGGCCGGGCAAGGCTGGCAGAAGAGGTCAGTGTCCTGGGCCCATGATGCTACCCTGGCACTTTTCCCCTTCCTGCCATTTGGGGGGACTGGTTGAGTCCTCTGGCCGGGCTGTGGTTCACGGAGGCCAGTTTCCGTACCTCCGCAGGGTAGGCAGTGGGGGGCTGTATCCACGTCCCCCCAAGGGGTGGAGTGACCACGCAGGGATATGCCAAAGCGGATGCCACTGTCTTTACCCTTTGCTTAGCCTTCACCTGCAGGTCAAAGTAGGCTCCACTTCCGCTTGCCTACCCCAGCCTGTCCTTTGGTCCCAAGAGCAAACTGGTTGAACTAGTGGAGGCTGTGCGGATGCTAAGTCCCGGGCTTCAGGACCTGTTCCCTGTCGCCCTGCCTTGAGGAAGCTTGGGCTAGGGCTCCTGGGTCCCTGGCTGCCTACCTTTAGGCTGGGGTGGAGGGCAAGGGGAACTGTAGCTGGGAGTGGAAGGAGCCTGGGGCTGGGTGTGAGGGGGAAAGCCCAAGTGGGGTGGGGGGCGGGTGTCTGCCTTACCTAGAGCCTACCTGCCTGCCTGCCTGCCTGCCTGGTGGATGCGCCACAGATGTTGTTGACTCCAGCCGCGCGCACGCCTGTGTGTGTGTGTGTGTGTGTGTGCAGGCACACGCACCCAGTGTCAGTGTCAGTGTCAGGGTCTGATGGGGACATTTCTCTGACTTCAATGTGACCACCACAGACCTTCAGTCCTAGAGTAGGAACCCCGGGGCGTCAGCATCCATTCTACTGAGAACAGAGCAAGAGAAGAGTCCAAGCTCTATACATGGAGCTCCAATACTCCTACAGGAACTAGGGTGGGAGAGAGAAAATGGAGGGCAGCAGTAGCAGTGGGGGCTGGACTCGGCTGGAGAGATGCACCCAAGGGACCTTCCCCCAGCAACAGTTCTGGGGTGGCCAGCACTGGGGACACTGAGTCTTGGTCACATCACGTTTCCCATATGGGAATTACTTTGCTCTGTCCTCACTGCCACCCTAGGGACCAGGTATCCTCCCTCTGGGGAAAGGGAAAGGCCCCTTCTGGTAGCCAGAGTCAGGTGAAGGGGAAAGGAAAGAGGGGGCCTGCTGTGGCTCTCTCAGGAGAACAGGAGCCATTGATGGGGTGCAGACAAGGCCCTCCCTTTCACACTAGGGGTGGGAAGAGCCGGGAATAGGTACTCCATGGTCCTGTCCCCAGGTGGCCTGGCTGCTGTTGACTTTGCTTGGTTACCCTGGGAGCAGCTCTCAGCAGTGTGAGAGGGGCGGGTGTCGGAGAGTTGGACCCAGGCGTCCAGGCTGGGGTGGGATGGCACTCAGCCTTTGTGGCTGGGATCCCGTCAGGAGCCTGCAAAGTTAACCCCTCCTGCCCTGGTGGTGGTGGTAGCTGGCGGAAGGAGGGCGGGCCCAGCTGCGGTTTGTGAGTGTGGCCCTAATTCCCCTTCCCTCTCCCAGCACATCTGTACTTGGTTTACAGTGAATGAGTCTCCTGTCCTCATGAACCGGGTGAGGGCACCACTCCCTCCCTGGCCCCTGGCCGGGCATCCTGACACAGAACCAGGCACCACCCACCCCTGGAACGCTCTCCCTGCTGAGTAGCCCTTTCTCAACTCTTCCCCTTCTCCTTCTTAGAGGGGCTCAGGGTCTGGTCCCCCAGAGCTAGAGCTCTGAGACTATGCAGCCGGGGTAGCAAACGGGGCCAGGGAAGCTAACGGGGGACAAAACTCTTGGGTAGCCTGGAAAGAGAGAGCGGGTCTGGAATTCCATCTGTCTCTGCCTTCCTCTTTGTCTTGGTTTGTCTGTCTGTCCGCCTCTGTCTTTGTCTCTGGTGGGTGTTTGTCTGTCCATCTGTCTTGGTAACTGTGGCTCCGCCCTTCTGGCAGCCTGTACGGTCCCCAGCCAACGACAGCAGCCAGGGGGCGATGCCCAGGAAGACCCGCCCTGTGCCGGCCCCTCCCCTCGGGATTGCCTCGCCTCCGCCCCCGCCTCTCCCCAGGACCCAATGACTGGGGTCTGTGGGCTGCAGCGGTTTGGAAGTCAAACCAAACAGGCAGACTGGGGAGCGGAGAAGAGGGGCATTGTGAGGGGTTCAGATTCTTCTCTCCATCTTGCATTGCCGCCTGTGCTCTGTCCAGGGATTCTCGGAGGAAGCTGGAGAAGGGGGTCTCCCACTCTGGAAACTGGTAGAGAGAGCTCCCCTCATTTCTCTTTCTCTTGGGTCATCCCCAGTTCTAGGCTTTGCTCTGTTTGTGGTTGCTTCACTTGGTCACCCTGGCAACTTGGAGAAAATGATATCTTGGGGGCCCTAGGACCAGGCTTCCTTTGCTCCCCTCATCACGAAAACCAAAAGGAGAGATTGTGAGGAGAGGAAAAAGATCCACACATCCGTCCCAGCTGCCCTGATTTACCGTATTGCCCGACCCTAATTTTCACCCTTGCCGGCTCCCCATCAGCATCAGGACACTGACCAGGCAACTCCCCCATGCCCAGTCTGGTACTGGGGGGATGTCCTAGGCCACGCTCAGAGGTGGCTGGCAGATGTCTTTGGGAGGTGGGGGGAGCTATGTTACAACCCCCAAGGACATCATTAAGGCACAGAAGTGCCATCGGGGCTTGGAGACCAGGGGCGCCCAGGGAGAGCGTGATGAAAACATGTACAACACGTGTCTTCTTTCCCTTCCTCCCCTCCTCTCCCACCTCCTCCCCCTAGGCCTGCTCCGTGCCGAGGCTGGTGCCAGCCTTGCCCTGGGTGCTTGCTCAGTTCCACCCCTTGTATCAGGCCTGTGTTGCTGCTTGCCAGTTTCTTGGTTCTCCTGGTGAATGAGTTTGTGTGTGGAAGATCCTTACCAGCCTCAGAGCTGCCCAGATCCCCACATAGAATGAGGCCTTGATTTTGAAACACAGCATTTTAGGACTGGCCTAAACAACTCTAGGAATTTCTTCCCTGCACATGCACCATTCATTAATTCAACAAATCTTTATTAAGCATCCGCTATATGCCAAGCACTGTGCTAGGCCCTGGGTATGGTGTCTGCCCTTGAGGGCTTATAGTCTGGTAGAGTCAGACATGAAACAAATCACCCACAAAATTGCAAGTGACAACGAGCGTGGAGAGGTATAAGGTGCTGTGAGAATGGATAGTAGAAGGGTTTTTTCCCCTGGCCAAGGAGATCAGAAAAGACTTTTGCGGGGGGGTGGGGAGGAGTAGAGAGAAGGGAGGGCAGCAGAAGAGTATGTGCAAAGGCCCTGGAATCAGGGTCCTGGCTCCCAGCCACCCTGCTCCCCCAGAAAGAAGAAGGTCCCGCCTCACCTGGGTTTTGATATGCTGCAAGGGAGGGACAGTAAGCACCTCCTAATGGCCAAAGCAGGACCCTGGGACACCTGGTGATCCTGCCCCGGAATGATTCCACCCATTCCTTCATCTCTTCCTCCAGAAAGGGAAACAGAGGCACAGATAGGGAGGAGGAATCCACAGGCTTAGGCCCGAGATTACACAGAGAAAACAAGGCCGCACATTGTTGGCAAATCCCTCAGGGTGAGGGATTCCTGAGTTTGCCTGGCTGGAGCCTCACCAGATAGAAAACCCTTCTACTCTGATCTGTTTGACCGTGCACCCTCCCCCTCTGGGATCCAGCCCTGACCTGTTCCACTCCCTGGAATGAGGAGCATGTCTGCTTCCACAGTTGCCCGGAGTTTGTGAGCTGACTGCTCCAGGTGGTGGCCAGGCCCGGTGTGGGTGGGTGCAGCAGTCTGTTTTGTACAGAACCTCCATCCCAGGTTATGGGGTTATCTCTCCTCTGTCCACTGGGGGGCTCCCAGCCCCTCCTGCCCAGACACCGAGGTTCCAAGCTTCTTCCTTTCTGAAGAAAAGGGATGGAGGGTCCTTTGGAGGAGAGAGCAGGCTTCTTGTGGCCATGCCTCCTCCGGAGCTGGCAAAGAGGTCATGGGACCAACGGGGTTAAGTTCCAGCCCTGCTCTGACCCATTTTCCTCCCTGTGCCCACACGCCCTGGGGCCAGGGTGTTGGGTAGGGCGGGCCTGGCACCCCTGCACCCACACCTGGGACTTCTCCTGGATGGAAACTCCCAGAACCCTGGTGTCCTACCTCCTGTGCCAGCTCCCATCAACAGCCTGGGTTCTGTTCACTTACAGTGGGATCTCCCTGTCTGCCAGCTCTCTTCCAGACTATATCTCCGCCTTAGCCCTGAGGGGCCCTGAGGATGTGGGCCCACTTTCTGGGACCATATTTGATGTCTGGCTGCCCTTTCTAGTGAAGCCCTTCGAAGAAAAGATGTGGAGCTGGGGGGAGGGCGTTGGGAAGCTATCCTTCGTTGACCATCTCTATGTGCCAGGCGTTGTGCTAGGCAT